ACATTACGGAGAACGCTACACATCCATAGACTTTGTTGTTCATCTGTCTCAACCTTCGCCCGAATTCGTGATCGGCCATGACACTTGATAATTCTAAAAATATCCGAGGGGACTTGGAATTTACCTAGAAAACTTTTAACATTTCTTGTTGAATAAATTGTTAATTTTCTTGAAAGTATAGTTTTTCATTCTTTGAAATAAAAATTATTTCACACCAGCTTAACTTTGACCTCAGGTAAAGGAACTATTTCTTGGCGGATGGATAATGTAAATATCCATGAAATGAACATTGTAAACATTGAAATTGGATCAATAAAACTAGGTTAGGAGAAAATACGACTGGCTCCGCGTCGCCAGGTAAACTCAATTTTCGACAATAAAACTTCCGATGGACGTCCGCAAAGCTTCAAATACAATACAGTTATCTCTTAAATGGAAAGTCCCTTATCAAATGGCAAAATCAAATGATCAAACGAATGGAAAACAACTGTCATATTCCTGATCAGCAACAGCTGGTGATATGACACAGACACCTTAAACTGAAAGTTATTAAACCACGCGTGACTCGAAAACAAGTTGTATGGAAGCGACAGACTCAACTTGAATGATAGTTCGACTGAGAGATATTAATACGTGAACAGTCCGAAGTCTTCCACACAACCCATGTCAACAGAAAAACCGTAATTACATCCCTTGGTAAGATAAAAAGACCAACACACCTGAAAATGAAAATAACACAGACTTTTTAGGGAACACGGTATTATTTATTCTTCCATAGACGACAATACTAACATTTTTTAAATTTACTACTTTTTATTATAAAAACCTGGACAAAACAGTTATGTGTGGTATTACTATTTTATTATTCTGTTTTAGAAATTGAAGTCAAATTGTAGCATGACCATCTTCGAACGGGGCTTGTTTTTGGTATCCAGGCCCACCGTCTTTTTACATCAAATTTATTAAAATTTGCAAGTCCTTCCGAATAATTCTCAAGAAAATATTTCAATGTTTCAAAATTTATATTGAAAATATACACACTGCAGTTATTCATGAATGAATAAAAACATAAATTATACCCTTACATCCAATCAAAGCGCTCCAAAGTTGACTTCCTTCGCCTGCCTTGGGTACACGAAAGGCCAATCTAAAGCCTGGAAAATATAATACAACTGTTTTCCCTATAAATTATATGCGCTCAAAGCAACTGTAAACGTTTTGGGTCTCACATTTGCAACTAACTGATAAATCATAATAGCATACGAAGTTAGAATGCACACCTCAAAGAAGACCTCAATGATATCGTACCATATAAAATCACAGAAGTGTATTGTAAAACTAATTAAACAAGCATAATACACAGTCTTAAATATATAGACAAAACGCGTATATGAAGTGCTACTTTATAAACCTGGTATGAATGACAACCACTAGGTTGATGCCACTGCTGATAGATGTTTCACCCCGAGGGTATTACCAGCCAGTAATCATTATTCATTGATGTGGTCATTTTCTGTTGATCTAAAAATGTTAAAATCCTTCGCACCACTACGATTTTTCTACCCCCGGGCGGAGATGGCCTTAGCCAGATTAAACCTTACCTTTTTTTTTTAATTTTGGTTAGGTTTTTCAAATCAACAAAGACCTATGGGGTATGAAGCGATTTTAATTTCGGTATGTTTTATCCTTTGTATACTCGTAATAAAGATGTACTATTTAGAGAAAACATAATCGCTAATATATCACCGGGAATTTTCATAATACATGTATCTATCAATTGTTTCGTTGGTGCCTGTAAAGTTAATCCATAAAGTGCGAGTCTTAAAAGAACAGAAACAGACATTTGATAAGATATGTGTTAGTTGCTATCGGAATAATTATTACTTGAGAGTATATACTATCTCCAAAAAGAACATAAATATCATGAAGCAAAATTTTATGATAATGACATTAATTGTGATAGGGAGATATTTTTCAAGGAGATAAACTGTATCTGTCCCAATTTTATATGTCTTTCAAATGAGGCAAAATTTGTTTGGTTATTTACTAATGAAAATTTGTCTATACTTAAATATTTAGGGAGCTATATTATTACATGTCTAGATGTTAGACGAAATGTTAATTAATGTATGTAATAACAATGATAATTGTAATGATTTTATAGTTCTGATCCTGCCTGGAATTAAATGTGTGATTTTTTTTATAGAATGAAGATAATAACATCTGTCTGAACTTTTCAATGTTTCATTTTAATATATAAAAATGTTTTTCTGTTACAAATCATGATGTATTGTTTTATGTGTACATGTTATGTTGCCCGTCAAGGGCCCTTGATTGGAATAATAAATATTCTTATTCTTATTCTTATAATTGTTAATGAGATTCTAAACATTTACTAGTCATCAAATAAACTCATTACTGCTTGTGTTGAAATGCCGTTGAAATTGAACGAATGTGTGTATAAAAAGACTTCATGTTGACTCTACAATATGCAAGATACGGGTAAAGTATATGATAATGACATTAATTGTTGATGAGATTCTAAACATTTACTAGTCATCAAATAAACTCATTACTGCTTGTGTTGAAATGCCGTTGAAATTGAGCGAATGTGTGTATAAAAAGACTTAATTCATGTTGACTCTACAATATGCAAGATACGGGTAAAGTATACAGTGACCTTTCAAGTCAAAACACATACCAACTGACTACAAGTGTTTGAATCTCGAAGTTTGAATTGCACAGTACATAAATATAGGGCGTTTGCGTGACTAATATATGTTTCCCGTATCTATTTTTATTTTACATATGCAATAAATACAGGTAAAATTGCGTGGGCTATCTCAAAATAAAACAAACAAATCCTAACAAAAGTTTCATTTAAAGTCGGTACATATACAAAACAGTACAACATAAGCTCAGATGATCTTTTAAAACCGACATAGACACTACAATAAACATACATATAAGACATACCATGCACAATAACGATAAACATATACATCTCAAAACATATACTGACTGACTTTAAAAACGCAACACTCATTTTGTTGATTTTTTTTCCCACATCATGTTTGATTCTCATACAACTACTATTAATGTTTACCATACTTCTTTCTCTTAAGAAAAAATCAACATCTGACTTACCTGTGGTTATTGAACATACCGGATTTTTGAAGTCGCACGAATTTCTAAAAGCGAAATTTGGAACCCATAAAAGATTTTTTCAGTTTGTTTTGCTTCGTGAAACAGTTCTTTCAATCCTTGGCTACACTTAAATCAGTTAAAAAATGTTGCATCTCCATATTGCCAAGACTGAGGAATAAAAAACTGAATCAGCCCATAAGAATACCGCAAACAGGAAAACGTGAACGTGCTGCAACCATACAGTTTGACTTCAGAAACTCGTCTTACTGTCCTCCCAACAACGATACAGGTAAACGGGATTTGTTACTGACCATCAATGACCAGATCAACATGTAGTGACAATGCAACGTCAATAGAAATTGATTACGCAACGCGATTTGCGAGACATGTTTACGGCCGCAACGTCAACTGCTTATCAAATTGCCGAATGCCATTGCGCACAGATTCATGCCATAAACGTTTCCCATAAACTAAACTGCCGAAGAATCGACTGTATAAAAACATTTAAAGCCCTGAAGTTTCCACCGCATACTTGCCAAAACCCATTGTAATGGGTGGAACAAACGCATATTCAGAATGTGTAAAACAGAACCCAAAACATGTGGAACAGAATTGGTTGATCTTTCTGACAATCATTTTGGCGTTTGTTACAGGCAGTCATTGCTTTTGACGGTGCCACATTCATTCAAAATATTAAAAAGAGTAATCTAGTGTTGCGTTTCTAAGTCGGTCAGTATACATGTGTCCATAGATACATGTCAGACACAAGTCATGTAATACATTTTAATAAGATACAATTAAGCACGTATATTATATGCATTAAACTAACGCATTAAAACAATATATTTATGTACTAAGCTAAAGCAAAAAACAATTTATCCATGCATTAAGTTAAAAAGGTAAAACTAATAGTCACGCATTAAGCGAAAGCACCAAAAATAAAATAAGCACAGATAATTTTCAGTACATAAAACAATTAAACAGTAAAATATTCATTCATGTATCTAAACCAATTTGCCATTCCATGCGTATACAAAATGTTAAAACTGGTAGAATGATTTTTTGGTGATCTAAAGTGGTCTGGCAACTCATTCAAGATTTAGCAGAATCATATCGAAATGATATAAGCTCAAACCTGGTATTCGTACTGACGAAATTTCTGTAATGAGCTGGTACCTTTATATCGTATCTTAATTTCAGATCTGCAAGATTTTATATGTTTCAATTGCCATTGTTCACGATAGAGTATAGAAGTTAAAATTTGATAATACGAAATGGTGGATTTGGTAAAGCAATCATTATATACTTTAATATAAAACAAATGTTCTGAACCCCAAATGGTTCGAAAAACTTACCAAGCTATGTAATGAAATTCCAAATTCGGACCTCCAATATAACAGACAAATGAATGTACAAAAACAGACCAGAAAAAAAATCAACAAAACAATATAAAAAACTAGAGTTGAGTCCAATCGTGATCAAATATATTCTACCATCTAATCCGCCTAAAATATATCAAACATTGAGTTTGTAAACTACGAAACTTGAAAAAGAAGTTTATTGTTTTTTCTTGTTCAAAATATTGACAGGAAAACTAATCTGGTAGTTTCCGACATCTGAAATGCTATTTAAAAAAAAACAATCATTTGGGTACCGGCGTCTTTCATTTAATATGATCATATTGTTAACATGAACAATTCCAACTTCAATACCGAGAATGATATTGTTAAATAGCAAGGTTATATCAATTACCTTCAACATTATTTTGAGATCACCTTTTGTATTCATTCTATAAATAACTTTTGGGGGATTTTTCGTTTTTGGCTGAGCTAAATATATGGGTTGAATCACTAGATCATTGGCCATTTGAAATATAGAGCCTGATTGTGGAAGAATGTTTCTATCGTACTTCTTAGTATTGTATACAAGTGTATGGAATATTACACACGCAACGACTGACACATCATCAAAAGGTATGTAATGATAATCTGTCATGGAATAGTATTATTTCCACTGGAAGAAACGGAAAAAAGGTTATAGAATATATTTTCCAGTAGGAACAGATACTATAGCATTGTTTATAACAACTAGTCCAGAGGGAACTCATGATAGGAGAAACAAGTATGCGTTGACATATTAAATGTCATTATCACTGCTATTAGTGTTATTTGAAATGTTAATGATTTTTGAATTACTGACAGCGAATGACTTATCCATGTTATCATTCACATGAAAATTATCAAAAATCAAAGGCGGATATGCATGATCTTTCAAAAGCGGGTGAAGGGACATCGAAAATGTTTGAATAAAAGGGACAGGGTCGGCAGTCAAATATTAGAGAAGCAACTTCCGCTCAACTAAAGATAAAAAAACAATAAGTAGAAAAGGCCTATGATTGAAAAGAAAACGATCTCTCAAAATTTACTTTTCATAAATTTCAAAAGATGGATAGAATAGAATGACAAAATGATTGTACGTTCTTAGTTTATACAGTATTTACACACCAATAACCTCTACAAATGTTAACCCTTATCAATCTCAACCGAAAAAATTATTTTTTTTTTCTGTCAATTTTAATTTTCTTGGACCCTCAGGATTTTATTCATGTGTATCACGCATTAATACATTATGGTGAAATCAGACCAATCACATTTAAGTATTCGTAAATATGCAAATCATGTAAAATTATTTTCTGTTAAAAAAAGCCTAGTAGGGCAAAACCGGCATAAAAAAATTGGAAAGATAAAAACTTAAAAGTTGACAAAAATTTGATAGAATTAAAAATATGACTTTATCTTTGATTAAAGAACAATGTTCAAAACTTAATGTATAATTCTTATTCTTTCAGTTTTGATAGATGTACAAGAAGAACGATTGGTATTTGGTCAAACAGTTGAGTTAGTTTGTCATCTGCAAGGCTCTTTACATCTAGAGGATGGAAGCAGTCGACAGTGGTCAGGAGGTGCTTTCAACAAAGTTCTTAGTTTGAACGGATATTCTTCTGATATCAGCAAGTATCAAGAAATTATAAAAACTAACACAGAATTTCGTCTCCGAGTGTTAAATTTCAATGAATCCGACGCCAACCAATATTATAAGTGTGTGTATGGATTCAAATTTAATGAGACTAAGTTAGATCTAACGAAGAAACTGTATGAATGCAAGTGCAGTCTTATTATATATTGGATTTTATATCGAGCCAGAATTGTTTTTACTATGCAAACCAAGCAAGAATTTTTTTTTAAGTCAATCCAAAGCAAGTAAATTTTTTTCAACATTCGTAAAGACAAGGGAATATGATATGCTCTGTGAGTTTTCAAGTCTCCACGTATTGTATAAATTCTGGTATGCAATGTCAATGTCGAAAAAAATATTTGAATAATTAGACATGTAAGAGGTACCGAGTACTTGTTTTCCACGTACATGTTTGTGTAGCAAACCATTCACTTAAAGACGAGTATACAACTATAGATATAAAGCTACTAGCTGTGGTACAAAACTATGAAGGTTTTTATACCACCCACAAAGTTTGGGGTGTATATTGGAATCACCTTGTATGTCCGTCTGTCTGTCGATAGATCTTGTAAGGGTAACTCCCCTTAAACGCCTGGATGGAATTCTATGAAACTTCCTACAAGACCATCATATGGAGATGTGGTTGTTACAAGGGGAGATAATTGAACTTTTTTAAAAACTTTTTCATTGTTATGCATTGGATAGTGGTATTTCTCGTGAGCGCAACTCCTCCCAAACGCCTGAATGGATTAAAACTTCACACAAGTGAAACACATAATATATAAAGATGTGCATGAAGAAATTTGGTTGCAGTCAAACTGTTACAAGGGGAGATAATTGGAGTTGGATTTTTTTTTTAGGAAGACTGCTGGGGGGGATTGGTATCACCTTTGTGAGCTTGCTCAAAGTACCTCTAGTTTCACTCTTGTGTGACTTAGTTATATTCTAATGAAGCAACCTTGGCAATGACTTGAAAAATATCTTTGCAACCAATTGACTGAAAAGGTTTTTATCTCATTTGAAGTAACCAATATGTTCTCAAAATGTTTTAATATTTTAATATGTCTGTTCTTCTGTTCAAATAACATTGAACAGAAAAACACAGGGTTGATGTCGAGGAGACCTCAACACCTCAAATCACAAAACAAGGTTTAGATACGGCATTTTGTACTCTTGGTATGCATTATTATTGTGAAAAAAAAATTTAGCAACTGAATAGGTCAGATTTTTTTTTATTAAAATGGAGGCCAGATTATTATGTTTTTCCAAAAAAAAACCCAGGACCCCCCGAAAATGAGAAAATGAAATGTTCCGCGCCTTATAGAGTTTGATGGAAATTATCGACCTCAACTACTTTTAAACATGATCCTTTTTACATATTCATTGCTCTCTATTTTTAGATATACCTAGTGAAAGTGAAATTGACACGCAGTTTATAGTAAACAACGAAAGTGAAATTGTGAGAACGTATGTAAGATTTCAGAAAATGTATCCAGTACCTCAGTGTGTTGTATATTCAGATGTAAGTGGGTATTTCCCCCTTATTAGTTGGAATGTACTGTAATTCTTCTTTCTAGAAAATAATTATCTCGACGTCAATACAATTCTCAGAACAATCAAATTGTGCGGTCGTGGGAATTTATAACTATATATATATTCCTATGATTCACTATTTCCTCATTTGATAGTAATATTAAAACAGTACACCTAATATGTCTCTGGTTGTATTACCAATCAAATGACATCCAAAAATAATTTTTATCTTATCTGATAAGTTTCACAATAATATATTGTTAAATATCAAACAATAATCATAATCTTGGACTCTGTATTAATTTGTTGGTTTTACGAAAAGCATAGAAAAACCCGACACCTGTCTTTTGCAAACCCGGATCGAGGAACTATTGATATTTTATAGTAACAGGGATGACTAATCTTTTGATTCACACTTCCTAAAATAGATCAAGAAATAATATATTTTGGATACAGTTTGGTTTCAATAAATTTATATGATCTCGCCGTTGTTCATGTATAATACTAGTTCAGTCTTTACAAATGAAGCTTGGATCATGTCCATAATTTGATAATGCTATTTAAACCCAGTTATTAACTATATAGCTATATAATGGTATTTCCTTTTGTAAAGCGAAATTAATAATTTTGTTCCTGTGCAATTATAAACGAGTGAAACAACCTGTCAACCACTAATACCTTTTGGCAAATATTTGCATTATTTTCTAGCTAACGTTTTCAGTTGATTTAAAAACAATTGAAATCTGCACTGACCATTCAAATTAAAAAAAAAATAGTTCATATAGGTTATTTAAACCAATAAACGTGAGTGAGGTACCCGAAAGAGGGAGACTTAAACTGAGTTCAGAAACGAATCTTACGCGATTTTATATATAACGTTTATATAATTGAACTATAAACAACTGTAATACAAGTTGGAGGTATAGATAGCTATAAAGGTTTAATCCACCATTTTCTTCGACAAATGCCTGTACCAAGTCAGGAATATGACAGTTGTTTTCCGTTCGTTTCGTTGGTTAGTATAGTCCAGCGTTTTGGTTTTGTTAGTATTTATGGACTCCCCTGTTTAAATTTACCTTGGAGTTCGGTATTTTTGTTATGACTTTTTTGTATATCATACAAAAAAATATATGTATGTGTTCATGCATTTTAAATCGAAGGATACCTTTGACGGATAATGCTTTTTTTTCAGATTAATATTTGATGAGAGAATATTTATTCAGGGTGTTTTATTTTTTTATTTTATTTTTTGCAGAAATCTTCGGTAAACATGACAATTGAAAGTAAGACAATCATTGGTTTGTTTCTAAATGTTTCACTCAATTCTGAAATGAAGTCAGCAGAATGTTGCGGAAGAGAAATCACAATAAAATGTTTAGTAGGAACACGTGTCATAATAAGAAGAACAATGAAGATTCCGGAATGTGGCGGTAAGAATATTTAATATTATCTCAGTTTCATATGGTAAATGCATGTGCCAGTTTCATAACTATTCAAAAGATGTGTGACAGTATATTTGGTTGATGTTTCTGCAATTAGTTTAACTTCTGTTACCTCATTTCCGTATTTAACTGAATTTAAAGAGGGTTACGAATTTTGTCGGTTTCTGAGTATTTGTAAAATATGCATCCAACTACTTTGTTCTGATGTGTATGTGTCAACAAATTAGTTGGAGTCATCTAAAAAGGGACTGAAAATACCCAATACAAATCAAAAGATAAGATTGGGTTGGTGACCCTAGTACCCATCGTGTTATATCTGAACTAACATTATATTCAGATTCGATTGTAACCGATTCAGTCATTGCTGTTATAAACAGGATAATTCTACAATATTGCAGGGGTCATTTTAAGATCTGCTGAAAGAGTTGCATGTTTTCCCGTGTTTCAATAGCTCTATAATTAGTTATGTGATCAATGTTTTCTTAGAAATTATGACATACCAGGTTATACCAAGGTCTAGTGACTCTTTCGATTGAAATATAACTCTGTCATTACGTTTTTCTAGGAATAAGAAACAGATCTGTTTGACAACATCTCGTTTTCAATTCTCCAAAAATAAAATCCTTTATTATACGGCCGTCACTCGGCTAACCGAGAGATTGGTCGGTTAATCTATATTTAGTATGCGGCTATATCGACGGTTGGTCTGTTAATTGGGTTGGCTAAAGTCTGTTAATCAGGTGTTATCGAGAAAATACTTGCAAGTTCAGTATGTTTCATTGTATAACTTTTTAAATATATTTTTTATCATAAAAATTATTCATGTCGGACAAAACAATTCAATGTACTGAATCCAGTGGTGTAATTATTTTTTTTCTAGCTTCGATAAACAATCAATAAAATGAAAAGGCGGGTTACTCACCAATAAATTTATACACATTTTTCACACACAAAATGTACACAAAATGACAACTTGGCTGAATTTACTTGCATGCAATATTTTGAACATCGAAAAAAGACAGGCATTATGTTTGTTAACCATATAAATATCATTGTGTGAAAAATCTACACGAAAATCTGTATTTTGGTGATATTAATTAATTTTTATTAAAAACCTGGTCTGTTAATGGGTCGGATGTATAAAACCCGGTCTGTTATTTGGTCTGTTAAGAGTTATGAATGGCAATGAATTCTGTTTCGTTGTTATGAATGACACCAAATTGTCATCTACATTGGTAACCAGTATATACATCATTTTTGTAGTTCGTTCTTATGTTGTACTGTTATACCACTGTCCCAGGTTAGGGGAGGGTTGGGATCCCGCTAACATGTTTAACCTCGCCACATTATGTTTGTATGTGCCTGTCCCAAGTCAGGAGCCTGTAAATCAGTGGTTGTCGTTTGTTTATGTGTTACATATTTGTTTTTCGTTCATTTTTATTTATATATGTAACACTCCCAAACGTGTCCATCCCCCCAAACGTGTCCGATTCCCCCAAACGTGTCTATTTCGCCCAAACGTGTCCTAAAAATCCCAAATCGCCCATACGTGTCCAATTTCGCATCCCCAAACGTGTCCGATAATTGTTATTCGCCAAAACGTGTCCACTTTGGGACGCCTGAACGTCTCAAAACTTTTAGCGCTATTATGTTCTCAGTGAGGTTAATAACGTCTACGGCAATTGATTTCTCGGGGACACGATTTAAGATATCGGGTTTCGATTAGATCCTATAAATAGATTAAAGCCGTATTCAAAAGACATAACTGCTGAAGTATTATGGCACAATTACTGGAAATTAAAAAAAAAAGAAACAGAGTTTAAAGAAGAAAATCCTAAATTTGTTAGCATTTGTTTGTTCAACGCCGGCTGTTTATATTAGTATCATGAATTGCAAGTTTGATTTGCAACATATGAATTTATTCTTCATTGTTGATTGCTTATAGTCCAGTTACAAATATGTCATGCATATTCAGAACGACAACATAAATAAATACATAAGGTAGATCTATCTCTTCCTACACGAGGGACATGTCTGCGTACTTTTACATCCCACACAGCCAAATGGACGCCCAACATTGGCAAGGATATAACTGTCGGTTGGAAGAAGACCTAATTAATCATGTTTCTATTCTCCATTCACGCTTGGAGGTAGGACAATAGATGAAAGAGTAAATTAAAAGGAATATACGTCAATAGAAGAACAATAACCAAAATTTGTTATTAAACAAAATTATAAATTTTAATATTGGTGGACATGTAATGTGTTACTTAAAGGTCAAAAATTAAATTAATTGCATGGGCATTTGAAAATATAGACAAGATTGAGCGTTCATAAAAGGAAACGTTTTGACTTGATATGGACACGTTTGGGGGAATGGACACGTTTGTGCGTTCATAATGCTGACACGGTTCGGCGCCCTTTTGCAACTGGACATGTTTTGAATTCAGCGACGTCATATGGACACGTTTGGGGGAATCGGACACGTTTGGGGGGATGGACACGTTTCTGAGTGTTACATATATAAATAAGTTCGTTAGTTTTCTCGTTTGAATTGTTTTACATTGTCATTTCGGGGCCTTTTATAGCTGACTATGCGGTATGGGCTTTGCTCATTGTTGAAGGCCGTACGGTGACCTATAGTTGTTAATTTCTGTGTCATTTTGGTCTCTTGTGGAGAGTTGTCGCATTGGCAATAATGCCACATCTGTTTTTTTTATATCAGAGATAAACGTCGTAATGTAACTAAACATCAGTAAGCAAAATATATTGGGATGCTAAAATATAAAGAATAGAGAAAGAATAATGAGAAAAATAAATAAAATGTAGAGAAAAGTGACATAATAATTTAAAGAATACAGAAATAAACAACACCCCCAATCCGGACCCTCATGGTATACACGAGAATCAGGATGGGGACGCAGAATGTAGAATAATAGATAAGGACAGTAGAGAGTGATGCATTGCTAAAAAAAAGAGAGAAAAATAACAATTGTTTAAGAATACAGACATGAAACACCCCTTTTTACTACTTAGACCCTCCAAGATGATTGTTAAAACAATTTTGGCATTTATTCTACATCTCCTTATTTTTAAATTAATAGTATAGACAACGATATCTATATAGATGCTTTGCAATTTTTTTTACTGTATATCACTTTATGTTATTTGAGACTGGAGTCCGATAAACATTGGCCTCCTGTCAACCGCTGAATCTGATAGCTCAGTAAATATTGTAAAGTGCAAACAAAACAAAATTTCAGGGGGAGGGGGTGGTTGAAACAGTAACAGATTGCGATGTACTCAAATTGGAGACAAATGCTAGAATTTTACAAGCGCACAACTGCAGTTCTCCTTTGCACTTATGTAGAAAGGAACTAAACGAATAAAATGAATTAAAACTTAAGATAATCAAATGTAGCTGCATTCGCTTCTTTCCATTTACTTCTTTAGAATGTTTTGTAAACAACATATGATTAAGTAATAGAACAAAAGAACCAATTGGATGATGCTGACGAATTAGGGTTTAACGTCCAGTGGCAAATATCATGTCCATATGAGAACGACAATACGTTATATGTACCCGGTGTTGTATAAGACAGACACTTTCAGTCGGATTTTTGAACGTGCTTCTTTGAACAGACACAAAAATCAAGGCTGATTGAAAACGTAAATAATAAATTCATGCATATTCCAGCGGCCAATCCATATCACGCTATATTGCAGTGACACACCTTTCAATAAAATGCAAAGAAAGTCAAAATAAAAATGCTCTTACTACAAGGATACTGTTGCACCGTATTGTCATTTTTTTTTTACTCAAGTACATCTCATTCTTAACTTTTTTAATGGGAAATTATAAAGGTAGCAAAACTATTGTCGTGGCTAAATAACTCTTAACTGACACAATTTTAATTGTCCAACCCATTAACAGACTTTATTCCCCTAATAGTCACTAAAACGTGGTATTACTCACGTTATATTACAATTATGAAATATTTACTAATGTCAATTTATTTTTTAGAACCAAAGTACTATTTTGTGTCCTTTAAATGATATCTAAAATTGTTTGTTTCGCCTTTTATTAAAACAATTGCTATGCGTATAAGCATAAATACCACATACTTGCGCGACGCCTTTTAGTTTTACTGAAGTTTGCGCAGACTATGAAATGTTTTTACAGGTGGAAAATGTTCTATGATAGATATCATTTTGTCAGACACTTTTCTTTTTTTTATTTGGTTCTTATAATATGCCAAAACTCTGTATATTTAATAGAGTTGAACATTTAAATTGTGCGTTTTACTCTTAACAGACGTATAACCGACCCGATTAACAGACCAACCGCCCATATATCCGCATACTCAATATAGATTAACCGACCAATCTCTCGGTTAGCCGAGTGTCGGCCGTGTATTAGTATACAGTAATTTTATTTGTTAATCAAATGACTTAAATTGTTAACTTTCGTGATTTGGCTATTGCTAAGGTTTATAGCTGTCTCCGCCCGGAATTTGTTTAAGACAAATACGGCCTATTATTTTTTTTTATTATGACATTTCTTTTTTCTGTTTTGTTTTAGACCGGAATGAGCTAGTCACGCTGCCAGATATAACAGTGATTGTTTTACCAACCGTGTCCATATTATTGGTCTGTTTAGTTAGTTTGGTACTGGTTTACAAAATAAAACACAAGTAAGATTCACAATATATATAAATAAAATAGTAGATGCTGTGTATATATTAACGTTATAGTAACTCAACAACACAGGTATATCAAAATAGACTTGTAGAGATGACCAATGATAGACAGTTGTCCTCAGTGGCGGATCCAGAAATTTTCATAAGAGGGGGGCCACTGACTGCCTAAGAGGGGGCCCGCTCCAGTCATGCTTTATTGATTCCCTATATAATCAACAAAATTTTTCCCACAAAAGGGGGGGGGGGGGCCGGGCCCCCTGGGCCCCCTCCTTAAATCCGCCTCTGGTCCTAAACGCAAGGAAAGCTCTAAATAGTCCATAAGTTGTTGGTAACTTAATGCAAATAGTCGATAGCATACATAACACCAAAACCAAGTTTTCAATGGACGACCACCGACGAACTTCATAATTTCGATGGCGCAAATGTTATTCTAGCCTAGCTATACTCTCACACAGTTATCTTGGTGATGGACGATTTTAAGAATGACACTGCTAAAAATGCAAAAAACTTCGGCACCTATTTTGATTGATAATATATCAGAAATACCACAACCAAAACACAACTGAATACAAGCAGTAAAATGTACAATACATATATTCTGATCTAATTCTTCTTATATGATTTGTATATCTATATTTATTAATATTTGAATGTGATTGATCCGTTCAAAGTTACACTTCGATTCACCATGTTGTCAGAACTTCTTTTGCTACCAATAAAGACGACATTTGTGTTGAATAAACTGAATGTGATTATTTTCCTTTGAAATACTGGCTATTTCAAGCATTAATGACAAGTTTTGTCATAATCAGTTAAACAGTTTGAGAGAAATTTGGCATAATGCAAGACGACATCTATCGCAATTTGAGCAAAATTTCTTTGAAAAATCATATTATGCCGCATCAGGATTGAATATAGTGTGGACCAATAAATGGTCAGATATTAATCGCATCTGCATAAAATCAGTTAAATATGATACAAAAGATTACTCTAAGGTGATAAACACCACTGACACACCTCTTTGACTTCATTATCTGGTCCATATTGGTCCATTTATACCTCTCATTCTCTCAAAATCTTGACTTATATGCTAATAAATCAAAATTTTGGGGAACTATCACACCTTTTGTAGAAATGTGATTATCAATAGGTAATTGAAATGTTCAAGCTGAATGAACTATCCATATAAAAATTATCTGACTCAATGGAGCTTTCAATAAGTCCTTACGTGAGTTCCAGAGAGGGACATATAATGGTTCCCTTTAGTGAATAATAATTGGTTGTTACAAAAATCATTTCACATACTTATTACTGTATATATATTTCTTAAAGAAATACATAGGAAAATGTTTCCTATTATAGCCCAATATAGGAAATAAAGAGAAAAAGTCAGAAAAAGCTCCCCAAAACACTGAGTATGGCTTGCTCTGCCTGCTAATATTCATGGCAGAGCCCTATTCCAAGGTAATTTTCCCTCAAATGTGTATTTGAGACCCAATCCGTTCAAAATATTTCATTTTTGCAATACTTTCATGAAATAAACTGAAATTAAAAAAAAATATATGAGTAAATACAAGGTCAAAATTGCATGTGCAGCTTTCCTCAATAGGGGTAGTACCACCATTGTTTTCCCCTATCAGTCTTTGTTAAATTAGCATTAGTAAAAAATGTGCAGAATTTATCTTTGTTTGAAATTAGGAAATATCTGGCATGAGTAAAGATTTATCCTATCAAGTACTATAGTGAAAATTTCACATAACATTTTATTGCCCATAAGATAATAACATTCACCGGAAGTAAACCAATCACCTTTCCACCCCTCTTTCTCCAGTTTACAAGTTCTAGTAACCACATCTCCTCATGTTTCCAAAATATTTTATAGAAATACCAAATAAAAAAGAATGGTGCTTTGAAACACCAAAGAATATTCGAAAAGAACATACCTTAGTACTCAATATATTTATTTCAACATAATTATATAAAAAAATAAGATGTGATATGATTGCCAATGAGACAACTCTCCCCCTAAGACTAAATGACGTAGAAGTTAACAACTATAGGTCACCGTACAGCCTTCTGTACACTAAGTTCTGGTATATAAAATGTAACAGAACAGATTTGGTCAAACAATCAATGATCTTCGTCTGTGTAGTAATGTATTTTCTCGCTGTGTTGAAGACCCATTAGTGGCCTTCGGCTGTTTTTTGCTCTTTGGTCGGGTTGTTGTCTCTTTGACACATTCCTCATTTCCATTCTTAATTTTAACAGTACACAATCAAATTGTAACATGAAATTATGAACTCATTTTGATTGTATGTTTATTATTTTATTCTTTTTAGGTCTGATTATTCGAAATCTCGTACAAACGAATGCTGAAAAATCGTACGCAAGCAATTCCATGCAGCACAGTTCTTCCAGCAGTGATCAACTACTACGCATGGTCGGAGCATAATCGGCGAAGAATGAGTAATTATGAAACACAATATAGAAACTCCCAGCTGTTAACACAAGATACGAGGAAGCACGAAAACAGACCCTGTGAATGTCTCTCTCATTCAATACATAATAATGTAGCCCTAGAAACTTTTAAATTGTAAAAACAATGATGGCCCCTGTTCATGCACCACGAGACTACATGATTTAATAGAGCTACTGATGATAGTATCGAAATTTTAGTATGATGTATCTTATACATAACATGTGATCTTTGATGTGCGTATTGTCATATTCTTAATTAATACACATATGACAAAAGGAGATGTAAGGTTAAAGTCAATTATAGATAGCAACCAAACGACACAAATAGCCACAGTACATACAGTACATACAGTACATACAGTACATACAGTACATACATTACATACATCGCATAATAACTGCATGTTATTCTTAATTGCTTAGAACACTAAAAAGTAAATAGAATGGTTAGGTCTGCTTAAACCAATCAATTGAATCAGAGGTTAGAAAATAAAAAAAATGATAAATGTGTCCAGTTATGCAATCTTTCTAAAATATAGTTACTTGTATCCTTTTTGGTTAAAATCTCCTTTTTAGCTCACCTTGTCCAAAGGACTAAGTGAGCTTTTCTCATCACTTGTCGTCCGTCGTCCGTCCATCGTAGTCCGTTGTCGTCCGTTAACTTTTACAAAAATCTTCTCCTCTGAAACTACTGGACCACATTTAACCAAACTTGGCAACAATCATCATTGGACAATCTAGTTTAAAAAATGTGTCCGATGACCCCCGCCTGCCAACCAAGATGGCCGACATGGCTAAAAATAGAACATAGGGGTAGAAAGCAATCATTGTGTATTATTTTGAAAACCATTATAAATAGAGAAAATCTGACAGGGTCAGAAATGTTCAGAATTTTGAGTTTTACCAATTGTCCATTTTCGTCAAAACTGTCTGGGGACTTCTTTTAGGAGTTATTGCCCTTAAATGTCAAATTTTACCATTTTTTTTCATTTTTGCCTATTATCTTGAAATCTATAATAGATACAGATAATCTTTAAACTGCAAAAATGATCAGCAAGACAAGATCTACAAATAAGTCTAATGGTCGAAATCGTAAGTCGACTCCTTATTAGAGTTATTGCCCTTTGATGCAGATTTTTACCAATAATTTGCCTTATTTTTGCCTTATTTTTTAAAATTATAATAGATAGACAAAAACAAGATCTACAATTAAGACAAATGGAGAAAATTGTCCGACGACTCTTTATTGGAATTATTGCCCTTTAATGACGATTCGTACCATTTTTTTTGCGTTGTGCCTTATATGATAAAGTTATAATAGATAAATAGAAACTTTAAATAACAAAAATGATCAGCAAGGCCAGATCTACAAACAAGACATATTTTGCCAATATAGTTAGTAGACTGTCACTCTTTATAGCAGTGATTGTCCGTAAATGAGGATTTTTGTTACCCTCTTTAGTGTTGTGAGCAAAAACTAAAGAAGATAGAGAGAAATTAAACAGAAAAAACAATCAGCAATAAAAGATTAATAAAAAAGAGATTTGTGTCATGAATTCTATTCTCTTCTACAATGTTGGAGAGTGTCCTTTGATAAATATGCACACAGACCTAGGTGAGCGACACAGGCTGTTTGTAGCCTCTAGTTTATGTCTTTTTGCATAAATAAGGGATCATTTTCAACGTCAACACTCATGGCTTCTTTGATGCCGGACAGAAGGTGTGGTTATTATTAATCTGGTCTGAATAAATGTTGTTTACTTGGCAGATGTATTATTTGCCATTTGATTTGTATAAGTAGCTGTGATATAAAAAAGACTTTTGAAATGTATGAAAAATAGCAATTAATTTTGGTTGACACATCGCTGATGAAGTCAAAACGGCTTTGTTATTATGTTATGAGTTTCGTTTGACAGATATGTTATTTTTACAATTGTTATTTTATTAAAAATGTTTGAAAACTTTAAATGTGTCATGAGTCATAAAAGAACGTGACCTCGAAGACATATGACCCTAATCAATGTTGGGCCGTTGACTCACAAACATATCATATATATAGAAATAAGAAGATGTAAGATGTGGTATAATCGCCAATGAGACAACTTTCCACCAGAGACCGAATGAAATGGAAGTTAACAACTATAGGTCACCGTACGGCCTTCAACAATGAGCAAAACCCATACCGCATAGTAAGCTCCAAAATGACAAATGTTAAACAATTCAGACGAGAAAACTAACGGCCTGATCTAAGTACAAAAATACGAAAAACAAATATGACATACATAACCACTGAATTACAGGCTCCTGACTTAGAACAGACACATGCAGAATGTGGAGGGGTTAAAACGTCACGTTTTGCTGGCACCAAATCCTCCCCCTAACCTGGGACAGTGGTGTTACAGTAAGACTTAAAACAAACTATAAAAATCTATTGAAAAAGGCTAACTCATCAGCACATAAAAATCCTAACAAAAACACAAAAGACACAAAGTACATGAAGATCTAAGAGTACTCGCAGTAACTGAAACTAGTTCAAAGCCAATAACAATTAATAAAAAATCATGCGTCTAAAACTAGAATATTAATCATTACACATTACTGTAAAGACGTCGTTTACAGTCCGAGAAGAACATGGCCTATATAGGTTTCGACATTGTAGAACCGTGAATGAACATAAGTTCGTTCGGACTTTAAAAATAATTATTACTCTAATTTTTTCCAATGTGAAAGAGCCTTTTTTTAATACAGCATGAAAATTTCACACTGCATACATAAGCAGGATTTAATGTGCCATTGCAATTAAAATCAGTTCTTTTCTTTGTCTTTTTTTTTTATTTCATACACTTTTTTTCTCCTAACGACACTATTTCAGAGAAAATCTACTCCGCAGACTTTGTAAAATGTGAAACCTACATCATACCATTAACCACGGACAGATACATTTGTAAATAAAAACAGGTGTACATAATATTTTTTCTACAGTTTACCATTTTAAATGAGGATGTCCAGGCAAATTGACATTTCAAACATGACATTATTACATATTTAACTAAATCTAATGCACATCTTAACTGCTTATAAGGAATCTTTCTACATTGCAATACATTAATACATCAGCTATTGATGTGTGCACAGCTCAGTCTCAATTTTTACATACCACGAATGGTACATCATTGAATGAATAAATTATTGCGCCTTGTCTATTTTTCTCCACCAATGGGAAAAAAAGATTCATCCGCACACATGTAAACATCATTTATAAGACACAAATAGCACCCAAAATAGTTTCATATTAATCACAAAATAAAGGTTGTCAACAAAAAGTTCTTTCTGTAACACACAAATGATGAAGACAAAGTTTTCAAGGAGAATTTAAGATGGACTACTTGGACAAATATATCTAAAAAATATAAAATAATTGAATCTTCTCTTGTATTCACAGTATAGTACACGATATATGTAAAAAGAATATACAAAAGCATCAATAAAAACATTGAGAAAATAACATCAAGGGAAAATGTATTTAAGAGAAAAATATAACCACAGAAATTAGAAAGAAATACATTTTAATATAATTCTGGCAATCTGCAATAAGAAGATGGATTGTATTGTTCTGGGACTATAGTATTCTTCCCTTTTTAATTTTTTTTGTAGAGCCGGTATGATATATATCTGAAAATGTATAACATTCATATATTTCTATATGATGTGAAAGTTTTAGATAAATTAAAATATGTATACATAAGGTGCATATGGAATGAATGACTCTCTCTGTATCTATTTATATTTTCATTTGCAGAAGAGTATGTTTTGAAATAAGTTTCTTTTTAATTTTGTTTCAATAGTTAACTAGGTATAACATTTTCTGAGATTAAAAAAAAAAGAAAGAAAGAAAGATGTGGAGAGGGTTTCAGCTATATTTGATTTTGATGTACAACAAATTCAGACTCTTTTTGAAAAATATTGGTGGCCCTTAAAAGGGCCGTTATTGTATAGAGTAAAGGTCAGTTTAAGCACGTTCTCCACGGATTCTGCGAGCCAACTGGATGTCTTTGGGCATGATGGTGACTCTCTTGGCGTGGATGGCACACAAGTTGGTGTCCTCGAAAAGACCAACGAGGCAAGCTTCACTGGCTTCCTGGAGGGCCATAACGGCAGAGCTCTGGAAACGAAGATCAGTCTTGAAATCTTGAGCAATTTCACGAACTAATCTCTGGAATGGGAGTTTCCTGATGAGGAGTTCAGTACTTTTCTGGTATCTTCTGATCTCACGAAGAGCGACTGTTCCTGACCTGTATCTATGTGGTTTCTTAACTCCACCAGTTGCAGGTGCGCTCTTACGGGCGGCCTTGGTGACAAGTTGCTTTCTTGGAGCTTTTCCTCCAGTGGATTTACGGGCGGTCTGCTTTGTACGAGCCATTGCGATATGTTCTCTGTGAAAATCGACGATTACACGACATAATACTTTAAAACTTCGAATGTTTGTGTATTTGTGCTAGCCGCAATGTTTGCAAACACGACACTGATTGGCCTTTCGGGGTAATACAACTCAAGCTGATTGGTTGAAATCTCTGTATTATGATTGGACTGATCTGGAAGTTACTGTCACAGCTTTCAATCCATTTTTGGACTGTAGCTAAAGACTGTTCACCCTAAGCTAACATTTGGCACAAATTTGTGTCTATTCTGTTTTGATGTGATCGTGTCAACAAAAGTTTGAAATAATGAAAGTACCCAAGAGTAATGCAGAATTGAATAATAAATAATTGGTTAATCAACAGTCTAACACGAAATGTATAAATTAATTGACAGGAAAAAAGTTACTGTAAATTAAATACCAAAAAAAACAAAACAAAAAACATCATCACCCATCAATTTTGATCAGTAGACGAGTGGTATAGGCATGCAGCCTTTTGTTGTCGCCAGTTTCTCGTATAAACATGCTTAATTCAGTGCACGACTGTCACTCGTCTCAGTTTCTGGGGAAAGGTTCCCAGACAAAGAGAACACTCTGTATTATCTTATCTTTCGCCTTTGTAATCTCTATAATAGTCTCGGTATTCTCTATAGTCTCTGTATTCTCTATAGTCTCTGTATTATCTATAAGAAAACAAAATATATGTAATATATTTAAGAGAATGTAACAGCAGAAGAAAAAGAAGAAAAGAATCCAGCTAGACCACAGACAGACCGACAGACACACGATCGAACGAACGAACAAACGAACAAACATTTTCATATATATATGTATGTATGTATATATAAATATATATTTATATAAGGTCAAAGATTGTAATTTGTGTGAGTATATCATCCATACAAGAGGATTGCAGCGAAATTTACACACCAAACAATACAAATATGTAACATTGACCACAAACAATTATAAGTTTTTTCTTCTTATCGTGCTTGCGCATTTCCATCAGCATCTACGTTAGGTGGTTGTTTATTTGTTGGACTTATATAGGAGAAAAAAGAAACGTGTGCTGTTTTTTTTTTTTATCTATGCATGAATTTTTGACATCAACTATTGTTATATATAATAAAAAAAAAGTAGACATCTGTAACTGTTTACAAAAAAATGAAAAACAACAGAAAAATAAAAAATAAAAGACAGAGAAATGAGGGGGTGAGCTAGTTTTAAGGTTGTATTCTTCATTCAACTAATTGTACAACAAAGTCAGATTCTTTTTGAAAAATGTTGGTGGCCCTGAAACGGGCCGTTGTAAGTGAAGTTTCTGTTGTATTGACTTTACTTGGCAGCTTTCTGTGTCTTCTTTGGCAGAAGTACAGCCTGGATGTTTGGCAAAACACCACCTTGGGCAATGGTTACACCAGAGAGAAGTTTGTTCAATTCTTCGTCGTTTCTGATGGCCAACTGAAGATGACGGGGGATGATTCTGCTCTTCTTGTTGTCATGGGCAGCATTTCCTGCCAACTCCAAAACCTCAGCTGCCAAGTATTCCAAGACAGCGGCAAGGTAGACTGGAGCTCCGGCACCAACTCTCTAGGCGTAGTTTCCTTTCCTCAAAAGTCTGTGGATACGACCTACTGGGAACTGAAGTCCGGCACGGGATGACCCAGACTTTGCCTTTGCTTTACCTCCTTTTCCTCGTCCTGACATTTTGATTTAATACGTTGTTTGACACTGAACAAGTATAAACAATGATTACCCCAACAACAAATGGAAGTTTTTAACGACCTTGACTGGATATACATCCTTCGCACGGTCGGCTCGGTGCCCGAAGGCGTTTGGTGAGCGTTTAAATAATTTTGTGCCATCGGTCAGGAACAGGTGGAGGACGCCATTTTGGTAGGCCGCCATCTTGGTTTTGTGAGTTGTTTTGGTTTTTCTTTTGTTGACTATTTTGATGTTATGTCTTCACAACGGCTGCTTTCAGGGCCAGATTGGTCAGCTTGGCAGCCCGCTAACCTCGATGATGGAGTACTGGTAGATGAGTCTCGGACGTAGTATTAACGATGACAGGAAGCATTTTCAGGACCAAAGTCGTGAGACAGTGAAATGGTGGTCCATCATCTAACACCTAGGATACAGCCCTCGGACGTCACTCGGCATACCACTCCCCCATCCATAATGGGTTTTGGAGTGTATGTTGACGCGGGAATTAGCCCTACGCGGATTATAGCCTAACGTAGTCTGTACAGCGTTGGATTGGTTTCTGTCATCGAAAGTAGTAAGTCGTTGATCCATCTAACTGTAAACCCTCATCGAAGATAGCGGGTAAAGGAGAGCTGACCCAGCACGTCCGTTCAGTTGTAATGACTGAGACGTGACTGGTGGAGATGAATGTTTTTACCCCAACAAATGGAAGTTTTTAACGACCTTGACTGGATATACATCCCTCGCACGGTCGGCTCGGTGCCCGAAGGCGTTTGGTGAGCGTTTAAATAATTTTGAGCCATAGGTCAGGAACAGGTGGAGGACGCCATTTTGGTAGGCCGCCATC